TTAATTTTGGTTTGTACCTTTCACCCGAGACAAATCGGGCACTCACCTGAAAAAAACCAAATGTGTCCATTAAAATTCCATTTTCCTTCATAGGAAGCACTCAGACTGTGTTTCAACCTCTGTCAGGGCAGTGCTGGTGATAACATAGGGTCTGCCCTTGCCTCCCAAGTGAGGGCATGTGCTTCCCAGAGTCCTCGGCTACCCCTCTGCTGTCACCCTCCGTTTTCTGACTCAACACCGCGTGCAGCTCTGCCGTGATGCCGACACTGACCTTGGAGCCTCGGCATGTGGGCTTGAGCCTGGATGCCACCGCCTACCTGTGTGATAGCGAGAGGGCTATTTCCTGCACTTGGAAAATGGGGTAATCATTTCTGCCTTGCAGGATTATAACAATAGAATAAGATGATTGATATGTAAGGGCTTGGAAAATCACCAAGTTGGGACTATATTTTTAGTCCCAACTTCTTAAGTTTCTACTGAAGGTTGTACTAGATAATATGGATTTTATCTATATTACATTGCAAAGGTGGAAAAGAAGATACGCTCAAATAAAATAATAATACATTCAGCCATAAATCTGCCTGGAGTGAAAAAAGAAGGGTGTGCGTGCGTGCGTGTGTGTGTGTGTCTCTCTCACACACACACACACACACGCACACATGTTACTCTTGGAAAGGCTGAAAGTCACTCCAGAAATAATGCCTTTCAAGGTCAACCTTAGGTAAAGGGCATCTTCAGGGCCTTTTCCACTCCTCTCCATGATTTCAGGCCCTAATGCCACAGGCTGTCCCCAGCATGTCCATATCCCTCTTCTCCCAACCTTTGTTTGCTCAGTACATGCTTTCAGGAAGCTTTTAATCATTCCAGAGTTGGATTAGCCTGGAGAAGGTGTGGGCCACAAGTTAGATTAGAAGAGTCCCGTAGTGTCTCAGATCTAATGAGTATTACTGGATTTTAGTTCATTTTATTTTTTATTCATGAATTTAATGAATGCTTATTGAGCATCTACTGAGAGCCAAGGCCTGTTTTATATTTCAAAATAAGAATCACAAACAGTGAAATGTTTTGTTATACCTGGACAGGGTTTAAAATTTTCAACTTAGCTGTCAAAACAGTTAGAATTTGGAATATTTTATATAAAAATTCTGGATTTCTCTCTTGCCTTTAGGTATTATCATTTTTACGAATGGAAACTTTTTGTCTAATTAAGGTCTGGATGGAGCCTAAATATATGAAATATAAAAAATTAGGGGTTCGGGGCACCTGGGTGGCTCAGTGGGCTGGGACCTCTGCCTTCGGCTCAGGTCATGATCTCGGGGTCCTGGGATCGAGCCGCACATCGGGCTCTCTGCTCGACAGGGAGCCTGCTTCCCCCCCCCCTCTCTCTGCCTGCCTCTCTGCCTACTTGTGATCTGTCAAATAAATAAATAAAATCTTAAAAAAAATTAGGGGCTCTTGTTGATGTTGTGCAAGCTCTGGGTCTGGGCACCCTCTATTTATTCCTTGGTGGGTTGTGTGTTAGCTCAGCCTCCCTAGAATGGTTTTCTAGCAGAGGCACATGACCTGTTGGGCACAGGGAGCCCCTCTAGGGTAGGGGAGAGGAACTAACACCCAGGAAGTTGTTGCTCTCACCTGGGCTAACAGCAACCGTGTGACAGGGTAGGTAGGGGATAGAGACTGACTAAGAACTCAGACTGAGAGCATGGCGGCCTGCAAGTGCCCCTGGCCAGGCAGGTCAGGGAAGAGCACTAGTGCAGTGGTAAAGACCAGAGGCTTTGGAGTTGCACCTGCTGGGTTTCATTGGCCACTGGGGAATAAGCTTGGGGAGGTCTCCTTGCCTCAGTTCCCTCAGATATAAACTGAGGATAAAAATAGTACCAACCTCATAGTTGTTAAAAGGTGATTGCCAATTAACTATTGCCTGCACAGTGCTCAGAACAGCACTTGGCAGGTATAAAGGGCTTAGTAAATGTGAGCTGTCATCAATTAACACAGAGTGATTTGTAGTCCCTAGAAATCAAAATAAGCAAGAGCTCCAGTGGAGGCCAGGCTAAGACAGGTGGGCATCCTGGCCCACATCCTTGTCTGGCATCCTTTTTATGTTATTTAAATATTTGTTTGACAGTTCTTAAGTGTAGCAGCTAAGTGATTCTAGGAGAAGACCACCGTGGGGTGAAACCCGTGTTTAAACCGGGAGCCTTCTGGAGCTTCCCCGTGGCAGCTGTCACTTACCTTCTAGGATTGCATGGCTGAGGTCATAGAATTCCAAGCTCACACATGTCCCTTTTCAACTTCTAAACTATGTGCATGCCTCTTGAAGAATCTTTTACAGATAAAAAGGAAAGGGAGAGATAGTGCATCGTTTGGGCCATTTGATGCAGATCCTTTCTCAGTGAATCTCTGGCCAGAGAGCAGGTGGGGGAAGGGATCCTGACAGGTTCATGTGAACCCCAGTTTGGGCAGGTCCCATGACACTGAGGCTGCAGAAACTGAGCCTGGGGGCTGGGACTCTGCTTCTAGAAGCTCCTACCTCACTTGGCCACTGCGGTCTGTTTGTATACTGGGCATTTAATGAAAGCCCATGTTAAAAATACTTCTTGGGGATAAAAAGTACAGCACAGGGAATAGAGTCAATAACCTTATAATAATGTCGTATGGTGACAGTTGGTGACTATACTTACTGTGCTGAGCATAGTGTATGGGATAGAATGTTGGATCACTGTGTTATACACCTGACACTGACATTGTGTGTCCACTATATTTCAATAAAATTTTTTTTTTCTGCTCATCTCCTGGCAATGTACATGGTAGCTGGAGAGGTATCTGTAACAGGAAACTTGGCCAGTGATGCCAGCCATGGCAGGAAGAACCCAACTTCCCAGTTTGATCAGCTGTCATTCCCTTCCCAGCTGGTATTAGTGGGGCTACACCTCTCACACCCCTTCAGCAGAACAAAAAGCCTTGCCTGGGGGCAGGCCACACCCATATTGGTAGGGTTGCTCAAACATACTTTGGAAGTTTTGCCTCCTTTGATCTCCCAGCTCAAACGGTGCATCAACTACATAGTAGTCTCCCTGAGACAGACAGTGAGACGTCACTCTGGTACATAGGACCTTCTACACTTTGTTCCATTTCTGGTGATGTTTTACTGCCTCTGGGGCAGTGCCATGAGCAACTGACTATGTGGCATGCCCATCTAGCTCTAACCTCAGAATACCCCGAAACCTAGTGAGGAAGTGCCCATCAATGACAGTTTATGGCTGAGTTTGGGCTCTGAGGAATCAAGCAGCACAGAGGAGCTGGCGGGGCTCCCCTTAGATGCCCTCAGAGATCAGGCAGGGAATATGGACACAGGGTGATAAACAGCAGGGAGAGATGGAGCCTGAGGGATTGCTAAATGTGCACTGACCAAAGGCATTCCAGTTACAAATGTCTCTACGCTGCTGTGTGGGACCTGTGGCTTGAGGTGCTTTGGTGAGACTGAGGGATAGAGAACCAGCAGCAAAATTAGAATATTATCTTGGCTTCAGTGTAGATTTTCTGCTCCTAACTCAGAACAGGGTGAGCCTGAAGCTAAGGTAGACCCACCTGGGATGGAGTGGTAACTGAGAGGGCCTTCAAACCATGATGGGGTCTTATAACCTCTGTCCTTCTAAGGCACTGATGCCTGATTGACATTTGTTGTATTGGTCCTTAAGAGGCACTTGCATTTTGGAAGAGGACATCTAAAGAGGGAAGTCTAAACTTACTTGAGTGATTCTCATGACCTCCTGGCTCTATTCCAGGAATTCTAGGCCTCAGGATCTGCAATGAAACCATTGGAGGGGGAATTTTTCCCACCTCTCCCATCATCCAGTGGGATGGCAGTGCAAAGCGCCATCGTGCGCCTGTGTGGTTGAGAGCACAGAGTAACTAGTGAATGTCAAGGCACGGGCTCATAATCCAGGACTCTCTACATTTCCCCCTTTCATCCCCTTTCGAAGTCGTCCACTTCGTCGTGTGACCGTTGTCCACACCCCCACCAAACCACTATCTTTGCTCTGAGAACCTGTGTGCAGAAGAAATTCCAGGCATCTAGGAGCTTGATGGCTTTAGAGTGATCTCTGCCTCACGAGACAAGAGAGTCTAGCAGGCATGAGCAGAGCATTGTGTATCCTCTCAGTGTGTAAAAGGAGAAGACATATGATCACCTAATAATCAAAGTAGTAGTCATGAAGTAATGGTAACTATAATCACAATTGCCCAGTAAAGGGCAATTGAAATCATTTGAACACTCTCTGTATCATGGAGGAATCAAATGGAATCGTTTGAACACTCTCTGTATCATGGAGGAATCAAATGGAATCGTTTGAACACTCTCTGTATCATGGAGGAATCAAATGGAATCATTTGAACACTCTCTGTATCATGGAGGAATCAAATGGAATCATTTGAACACTCTCTGTATCATGAGGGAATAAAAGAACGATCAGTTATTGCATGCATGTCAGTTAATGTTCGCCATCCCATTGGCCAAATGAAAATTGGCATATGTTGAGTGAATAAGATTGGCTCCTTTAACCAATATGGATTAATTCTCTGTTTTGCATTGATCAGGAAGATCCATTTGGATTAAAGAAAGTCTGGGTGAAATTTCTCTAAATCTCTGCCCCATCTGTACAAGCCCTTCTGAGGGATGCAAAAATTCATTCTTCTGACCATAGGCAATCGTTAAGTTTTCTTTGAAAGGAAATTTGCACCGATGCAGGAGTCACTCAGAGCAAAAACCAGGGAAAGTTCAGAGCTGACCCACTGCCTCTGGAGTGTTCTTTTTACTTTATTATTAGTAGGTTTTGACATTGTCTCACCCTTTCCCTCACAACAAAGGAATGGCGCAAGCTCGCATTCCCCTGCCCCTCCCTGCATGGCTGTCATCTCACCAGGCACTGGAGGAGCTCTCATTAGTGGCGATATTGGGGTTTCATTATTCATGTGTCTGTGCTGTGCTTTCTCAATCCCAGGCCGAGTACAGATGCTGCCCCAGGCGGTCTGTCTCCTGCACGCGCTGCTCGAGAATGGACACACCGTGTACGTTCACTGCAACGCCGGGGTCGGCCGGTCCACCGCGGCCGTGTGCGGCTGGCTCCAGTACGTGATGGGCTGGAATCTGAGGAAGGTGCAGTACTTCCTTATGGCCAGAAGGCCGGCTGTGTACATTGACGAAGACGCACTGGCCCGGGCAGAAGACGACTTTTTTCAAAAATTTGGGAAGGTTCGTTCTTCCATCTGTGGTGTGTAGGTGGCCTGTCTGCTTCCCCACCCTCCCATTTTCCTTAGGGACCCAGTTTCCTTAGGTGATGTTAGTAGAATGACCTACAAACAAAGATTCCACCAGAACTGAAAAGATTGGTCACTTGGCTTTGCCCGCAGTCTGCCCCCTTTTGTCTGGGGTTGACATTCTGTCATGCTTTGATTGGGCTGTATTTTCTTTGAAATTCTTCACCGTGGAAGCTGTGACTAACTGACACAGGACAAAAAGCCACAAACAATTGGACTGCACAGTGTTCTAGCATTGGACAGAAAAGTAATGCATGCATCTGTTGTATTACGGCTCAATCACTACACCTTTTCATGGCACTGTAATGTGACCCGCAGAACAAAAGATGGGGGATCCATAGATGGGACTACTTGCACATTGATGCATGCACATGTGCACAGCTTTTCTGCTCAACTGAACTGAAAGGATACAACGAGAGCTGGTCAGTTGCCAAAGAAGGGAATGTGGATAGAAGCATGGACTAAGACAGAGGAGGAGCTCTCATGACTGAAAGTTGATGGCTTTCGAAGCTTGGTGTTGACATCCTGCTTCCCAGTTGTTCCAGTCGGTTCCAGGCACCACCTTCTCTACCCACAACCCTGTGTGACAACCACAGGACAGTTATTGTCTCTCTCTTTGGTGTAATTGAGGCTCAACAAGCGTAGACAGCTTACCGCAGGTCTCATGGCTGGTCTGGGACCAGCTAGTGTTTAAAGCCCACATTTATGTGTCTCAGTGCTTTCAACACAACTTGTTGGTTTTCCAGCACAGTGTAGTGGATTCTGTGTCTTTTTCTTAGAATAAGGCCAGTTTTTCTGCAGCAGTTTCTACAGTGAGAAATGGAACAGCATTCTGATTAGTTGCCAAGGAATTTAGGAAAGTAGTTCTATTTTGTGCCACCTGACTTAAAACATGGTGGGCTGTCCCAGCACCCGAGAGGCCTGAGCCATAGCTCACGAGAGGAGCCGTCCTCCCAGAAGAGCCCAGAATGTGAGACTCACTACCCAGGATTCTGTCGGAAATACAAAGATGAACAAGACCCTGCCTTCAAAAAGCTCACAGCCCAGAAAGAGCCCGGTGTTCAACCAGCCGTCCTGCAGGATTGATCTATGATGATATGCTGGAGTGAGGGAAGGAGAAGTAGCTTTTGTCAGGTGCCTTGTATGTGCCAGGTGCTTTTCAATTTTAATTGAACCTTCACGGTACCCTATGAGGGCAGTTCATTACCTCCGATATAGAGCCGAGAAGACGAAGGATCAGATAGTCAGTCAGCTGCCCGGCATCCATGGTGAAGAAATGGGTGAAATGAGAAAGCTAGGTTTGTTTAATTCAACACCCTTTTTCTATGACACTGCAATGCCTGCTTATTTTCCTGCTTCTTTTTTTTCTTCTGTAATTATTTATTGATAGATATGAGAGACTCTGAATTAGGAAGTATGGGGGATAAGAAGGACACAAGGTAAGTTCCACTGGAGTTCAGAGGAGGCAGGGACATCGTTACTGTGGGGCTCAGGGGCGATGGCTTTTGATTTGTCAGAGAATGCTAGACATCTCACGTTTCTCCTGCAGGTTTACCAAGTTAAATTTATAAGGCAGGATTGAATATTATGAAATCTTGCTCCCTTGTTAAAAATAACTAGAGGTAACTATTATATCTAAGTAACCCATTTATGATCATAATGTGTTGCGTAAAACTTAACCCTAAAAGTGGAATATTTCTAACCAGTTGTGTGTGTGTGTGTGTGTGTGTGTGTGTGTGTGTGTGTGTGTGTGTGAATTTTTTTAATGCCTAAGAAGCTCGGCTATGTAACCTCCACTATAGAAAGACCTTTCCAGGGGGATTTTCCTTTTTCCTCTGAAAGGAAAAATCAGTTTAGGGCTATTAAAGAATGTTTTGGAATAACCTCTCTTGTCCTCAATAAATGGATGTCCAATGTATTTCAAAATTACCTGGAATTTTGCTGAATAAAAGCATTAAAATGACCTCTGATTATAGGATTAAAACTTTTTTTTATTAACTTAGTCTGAAATTTATAAAACAGTTTCCTTGAAGAAGCAGTCAGCTGAGCTAAATTGTTTTTCCTTGCACTCTTATTTTCTCAATTGCTGATGGAGATTGGCAGTTATAGGGCAAAAGGAAGACAAAGGTGAGGGCCCTGCAAAGAAGTGAGGATGAAAACCTCAAAAATGTGTCACAGAAAGTCAAAGCAGGAATGATGTCATTAGCTACTTGTCACTGGCATTAACAAAACTTTCTGGTTACAGATTTCTTAAAGAAAATCATGAAATCTCACTCATGGTTAAGAAATGCCCAAATAGGTTTATTTCTTCAGACATGAATCATGGTCCCTAAAATACTTAGTGTGCAACATTAGGAAATATCTAGAAAAATAAACACATTCTTCTGACCAACTTAGGGTATGGGTGAAAGCCACTTGGCTTTGCCTAAGAAATAATGATGAAAAAATGAGCTGGGGGCCTTGGTAATAAGAGAGTAATGAAAGACAGGCTCTGAAGACAAGTTACATAGATGGGAGAACGCGCCATACAGGAAAAACACTGAGTCAGTTTGTCCAAAAGTTACAACTGAGGATCTTTGCATTTAACCTGGGTATTTCCTTTATTGTTCAGAGGAGCAAACTGAGCCCCAGGGACACCAAGCCACAATTCGTGTAGCAGGAGTTTTAGTTGAGGCCCAGAGGGAAAGGAGCAGTGAGGAAGGGGATTTATTCAGATTTACTGAGGGGTCACAGCAGAATTCACGAGCGAGAACAGCCAGTACTGAGAGTGGGGAAGAATTGGTATGAGGATTAATGAAAATTGGAGTAAGCAGAAGAAAAATGGCTATAATGAGAAAAAGCAAAGGGCAGTGAAATGTCCAAAGGGAGAAGAAGCAGGGGTTTCCTTTCACAAAGATAGTCTTGGGAGATTGAGAAGGCAGGTGTGACCATAGGAACAGAGGTGACTCAAGGTTATGTTCCCAAGAGAGAAGGGCATGCTCTGTAGCCACTGACTTCCCTTTGGGACTAGATTACAGCAGGAAAAAGGAGCAGCTGTAAATAAGGAAAAGCTTAAAAAAAGGTGGCTGGTGCCTGGGGGGTTTAGTTGGTTAAGCATCAAACTTTGGTTCAGGTCATGATCTCGGGGTCCTGGGATCGAGCTCTGTGTTGGGCTCTACACTCAGCAGGGAGTCTGCTTCTCCCCCTGCTTGTCATGCTCTCTCTCTAATAAATGAAATCTTAAAAAAAAGAAGAAGAAGAAGAGGAGGAGGAGAAGGAGAAATAAGGAGAAGAAGAAAAAGAAGCAGCTGAGCAGAATGCGCTGACTCCAAAGTGACTTGTTACCTATAAGGAAAAGAAGTTCCCACAGAAGATGGAATTGAGAATGAACAGGAAAGGGTAGATTAAGCTACCTCTCACTTTAATAATAATAATGGCAGTAATAGTAACAGGGAGAGGAGGGACAACTGTAACAAAAATTCTAGCAAAAAATTCATTCATTCTAATAACAACAGCAATCATAGTAACAGGAAGAGGAAGGACAATATTAGCAACTTCTTCATTCATTCTAATAATAATAAAGGCAAAATACTACAGATAAGGCAGGACACTGGTAATAACTTCATTCTCTTCTTCCCTAACCCATTGCTCCAAAAGACTTTCCTGATTAATGGAAGCATACATCCTCTGGCTTGGATTTGAACCTCAGAGTCATTCTTAACTCCTCTTTCATTCAGAAATTACATTCAGTCCATTGGGGAAACATGTTACTTCTCTTGTCAAAGCACGTAAAGCCTAATTATGTTTTAATCCCTCCACTGACTGGACTCCAGAAACAGTGTTGTAACTTGGTTTCTCTGTTCTTTTCTTCTTCATATCTACTCTCACTTTGTGGCCATTGTGAGCCTATAAAAATGCCTGGTCACATCATGTCATTCTTTGCTCAAAACCTCCACTGACTTGCCACGTCATTCAGGGTGCAAGCCTAAGCCCTCCCAGGACATATCTACCTGCCCCCATTACATCTCTGACCTCCTCTCCCATCACCTCCCACCTCATTCTGCTATAGCCACACTGGCCTTCCTGCCCTGTGAATGTACAGGTTGGCTCCTACCAAAGGCCACTTGGATTTGCTCTTCTGTCTGCCCAGTGTGCATCAGCTTGGTGTCTGCCCTCCTCCACAATGCTTCTCTGGACCAGCCTATCAGCAAGTGCCACCTCAACCCCAGCCCTCCCCCTCCTCCTTCTCTGATTCATTTCTTTTCATGGAGCTTAGTCCTGGCCAATATGTTACATAATTTCCTTATTTGTCTTATTGTCTGCATCCTTTCACTACAGTGTAAACCTTGGAAAGGCCAAAATTTACATCTGTTTGGTTTGGTGAGGCACCTAGAGTGCCTGGCATATAGTCCAGTGAGTGCAGGACTAGATCAGCTAATAACTATGAGAGCAGATGTGTTCCATGTAGTGTGCTCTTATGCTTTCCATCAATCAGCTTACGTCATCTTACCAACAACGCTATGATAAATATCATTATTACCCCTATTTTTCAGATAATAGAAGAGGCATAGGGAAGACACTAACTTGTTCTCAGGCAAGTAAGACAGTTTCACCCCTGGTTTGGGGAGTAAGCTTCTAATGACCTTCCTGTATAAACTCTGGGCATTGTGCAATGCATGTGCTGGTTTGCTAGGACAGCCTTAACACACTGGGTGACTCAAATAGCAGAAATTTACTGCTTCAGTCTAGGAGGCTACAGGTGTGAGGTCAAGGAATCAGCAGGGCTGGTTCCCTCTGAGGAATGTGAGGGAGGATCTGTTCCAGGCCCTCTCTGCTAGTTTCCTGGCAACCTTTGGCTTTCCTTGGTTGGTAGAAGCTTCACCCCTACCTCTGCCTTCATCCTCACAGGGTGTTGTCCCTGTGTGTATGTCTGTGTGCAAATTCCCCCTCTTTGTAAGGATACAAGTCACTTTGGATTAAGGGTCCACTCAACTCCAGTATGACATCTTAACTAGGTACATCCACAAAGACCTTCTTTCTGAATAAGGTCTCATTCTGAGGTACTGGAAGTTAGGCCTTCAGCATATGAGTTTGAAGGCAGGGGCATAATTCAAACTGCAAAACTACAGACAATATCCATCTGAAGTCTGTGGAGGGTGAAAAACCCAAGAAGGTTGGAGGAGAGTGGAAATTTGGAGGAAGGGACCAGAATGGCTTGAGTTTTTTTTCTCCCTCCACAGGGTTAGCCTGACGTCAGGCCACATTTACAGTGCTGCTAAGATAGCAAAACAACACTGACAGAAAACCTTCTCGTTTTTGGTTGAGGAACCCAGACTTGAGCAAAAAATAAGCCTTTCCCTTGGTGACAGAGATTGATTGTAGAAAAAACGTGTTCTTTTCCAAGCCCCTGAGATACTGGATGAATTTCTGAGGGCTTCTGGATAAAGTTTTCTCACTCTGGAGGAAGAACTACAGGAAGAGATGCTCTTCCTTCTTTTGGTGGTGATTGTGTGTGGATGTGTGGTCCCCACTAGCAGAACCATCTTCCTACCAGCCTGGGAATACGCCCACACAGCAGGACAGAGAGGGACTGACGAAGCTGGAGCTACTCCAGAAGAGCCCTGAAGTCTGCCCACCTTCTTTACCTCTGTTGTGTAAAACAATTATTTCTTTGTGTTTGAGCCAGTTAGAGTGGTGTTTTCTGTTGTTTATAGTGGAAGGCATTGTAATGGGTACTGCTACCAGCACATATATTGTAGTTTAAAAAACAGTATCTGTTTTTGTCATAACTTGTGGCATTAAAACACATTTTGATTTCTGATATCATTTGAAGTGCTTATGTTTACATTTTGCTTCTGTTGGGAGCAGTGCCTAAAAGTGGGTTTCCGAGGATAGTTCTTGAAAGGGAGATGGAGGCTCTTGAATGATGGTCCGCAAATTCGAATTTTGTGACAGAGAAAAGTAATTTGTAGTGGATCTATTAGATTTCAGAACCTGTATATATTTGTGATTTCTTGTTACTGTCCTTTAAGCAGTGGTTCTTATCTAGCTAGCCGAAAGCTAACCCCAAATGGAAGTTACCGAGAAAACTCTCTCCATTTTTTTCTTGGCAATAAACAAAAACACTCCACAGAATTACACCTTCAGGTAATCTCCAAGCCTTATATGACACAGGTAATCTTAACATCTAGCCAAGCAGCTAACGAAAAATAAAATGGATGGGGAGGGCTTGGCGTTTATGACTTCTTTTCCGTACCTTTAGGCAGAAATTATACTGAGTATAAAGAATTTTTTTTTAAGAAGTAGAAGAAGAAAAAGAAAAAGGTAAACTGCAGAGGAAGAAACAGTAAAAATAATAGACTTTTCAGAAATGGAGTACTTATCCCCTGAGCATATGAATTGGTTTTTCACATTTAAAAAGTAGAATTCTCAAGTAGAAATTTAAATGAGAGAAACTTAAGATGATTGCTATGACAATGTTCAGTGTTTCCAGTTGTACACTTACATTATAAACTCAGAACAAGTTCTTACTTGATGAAACATATTCAAAAATCCACTACAATTCACATTCAAAATACTCCGTTGTTGAATAATTAGCTGTTTTTTTTCTCATGTAAGGTCATTTAGAATGTGGTAAAAATGTATTTGTATGTTTTATATCATTGATTGTGTACTGAGGAGCTCTTTTATCACCTTTAAATGATGTCCTCTAAATCATTTTTGTTTGTTTATCTTTGATT